CATCCATCCATCCATCCATCCATCCATCATCCATCCACCCATCCGTTCAAACATCCATCCATCCATCCATCCAGCATGGTGGTACGTAATACTGGTACACTTGAAAGAATTTCTCATATACTGGCCATAGAGAATAGAATTTCAATATATAGATCTGTCATTGAACCCTATATCAATTACTGCTGTCTTGTTTGGGATAGCATTAATGATACCATTGCGAGGAAATTACAATCTATACAAAATTGAGTGGCTTGTATCATCACTGGCTTTCCATACGCTATAAGATCGCGAGACCTTTTAGTTCAATTAAAATGGAAGCCATTGATTGAAATGAGGCAAGAACAGGAGGCCATTATGGTTTACAAAATTGTTCATGGCCAAGCTCCTAACTACTTATCAGAAATTTTTGAGAAGCAAATAGGTTCGAGTGCATAAAACCTTAGGTCTTAAAGATATGACCTGCAATCACCAAAAAACAAAATCTGGAACGCTCTCCCAGATGCCTTAAAAAGCGAACCCTCTATCAATGTTTTTAAAAGGAAAATAAAAAAATCATCGATTTATCATTGACATCACTGAAAATTGGTATTTTTAAATCGATGTATATTTATATTTAACTTATTTAGTCTTAATGTCATTAATGCACAGCTTATAGGTAGAACTGATTTTTATATAATTTATGTCCATCCATCCATCCATCCATCCATCCATCTTTCCACGTACCCTTTCCCCCCTCTCCCTTCTCACGCCACCCTTCTACCATTAGTCCGATTGTTTGCTACTTTTGACATCTCACAATTATTATTTTTGTTAATTTGACAAGATCCGTTTTCTCTTAGGAATCTGAATGAAAACCGTCTAAAGGAGATCAAAGCTTTTGCGTTCACCTCAGCCAACTCGTGCAATTTAAGACAATTGTAATTTAAATCACTTTGGAAATACGTACTCAACTATTATGTACAAATACAATGTGCAGTGAGGTTTTATTTATTTCGTATCCTATAAGCTTATCTCTCGGGAAGGAGGGGTTTGACGGGGATGTTCTTTTTTTGAGTGTGGCGAATTTGGACTATGGGACAGTGGTGATATTGCCAGGGAATAGATTAAGGCATCATTTTTGAAGATGTCTAAGGGATCTGTAAATAGTTTAATCTCAATTCATTCTGTTTTACAGAATGTTGATATCAAATTCCATCAGTAATATTGAAATAGGAGCATTTCAAAACAATTCAAAATTAAATCATCTGTAAGTATGCTTTTATACAGTGACCCATAAGTGCCACGGCAAAACACTCTTTGGTCACGGCAAAACTTTCTTTTTTCACGGCAAAACTTTCTTTTTTAACGGGGAAAAATTTTTTTTTTCCGGAAAATGTTTTTCTGCTTTCTCGGCAATATTTTTTATTTTTATTTTTTTGACACAATAAAGCGTTAAAACTTACTTTGCGCAAAAAAAACTTCCATTTCAAAATGCCTTTTATGGATGCGCTGTTGGAGCTTAACTCTGTAAACTATCATGCGAGCTTAATTTTGGTTGATTTTTGATCTATTTCACATGGAAAAGGAAGAAACTGCGGGCTTAATGTGTTAACACAGACTAGATGGTGCCTGGCTGCCCAGCTTCAACTCCTTCAGGATCCAAATCACGAACTATTTCCTCTACCACTTTTCTAGACACTCTTATTCCTTTTCTCTATAGAGCATGCCAAACACTACGGTAACCAATACAACATCCAGGACCATCCAGGACTGACAGTATAGCATTGCTCAATTCCTGGTGGTTGAATTCGAACATGTTCCTCTGAAATTTATACTTAGTTTTCAGCTTTCCTTTAAGTGTTCTCAGACTCATGTTCATCTGGTGTTGGGTTTCTAACCGATATAAAGCATTTCCTTGTAGTTATATCCTCCATAAAACAAAGACTCAAGTGTTGATTTCTCATTTGTTTCATCCGCCATTTTGATTACTGTACTAGGAACACAGGAACTCTGAACTTTTAATAAATTTTATAGATTTGACGTGAGCAAAGTAAGATTTGCCGTGAACAAGTTTTGCCGTGAAAAAACAAAGTTTTGCTGTAAAAAAAGAAAGTTTTGTTGTGAAAAAAAGAAAGTTTTGCCGTGACCAAAGAATGTTTTGCCGTGAGCAAAGTAAGTTTTGCCGTGGCACTTTTGGGCCACCGTACTTTTATTTGTAAGATCATCAATTTATCATCAAGTAATCCCGCTAATACATAAAGGTGGACAGCGTAATAACTGTAACAACTACAGACCAGTCACAATCCTCCCTGTTATTTCAAAAATCATTGAAAGGCACGTTGCGAAGTCCCTCCTTGCTTATTTACAATAAAATGATCTCATCTTCAAAGCACAGTCTAGTGTTCTTCCAAATCACTCCATCTCTCATGCTTGTACATTGCAAAGCAATCTGTCATTAATGTAAAGCGTCTTTGATTATATTCAAATAGAAAAGGCGCCATCATTACATTTGCTAATGAAATAATCAGATTTTTTTATTCCTCAGGGATCTGACCGATAACAGACTGAAAAGTATTAAGTTCGTGCAATTTCTTAATGCAAATTTTATAAATTTGTAAGTAATATAAATGCTTAGTTACAACAATTTTCACAATGAGACAATGTATCTTTTTTTTACTGGATTTAGTTTATAAGCCTAATAGCACACAAAATCGCTTGAGTACCAAGAAAACCTCATTTCTATAAGTTAATAAAACACATACATATATTCAGGCGCTATTGTTTTGTCCTCGGTTTCAATAATCGTAAGCAGTAAAATCTCATGCATGAAGCGTTTACTAAGTAAAGACGATGTAAATATTGAATCAAAACAATCAGTTCCCTTATTTGTGTTTTTTGTATTCTGATTGTGTGCAGGTATTTCTCGAACAATCTTATTGAAGATATTGGAGTTGGATTTTTCAAACATATGACAAAACTATTTTCTTTGTAAGCACATCGCTATATTTACTTGTTGCATTCAAACGCCTTCTGGAGTCTCTGAAGCGTTTTTTTTTTTTTTTTTTACCATTGGGCCAGTGGGTCTTTTTTAAAATCATTTTAGTGTATTTTAGTTGCTTGTATATACGATTTTGCAAACACGTTATGTTTTCAAACTTGTTGCAAAAGATAAATTTATTCTTTGCCTTTGAATATCTTGTCATCAGTCTTTGGGCCGCTTGATAAGGCTTTGTTTCAATGATCGTTTTCATTCAACATCGTGGTTCCAACATGTTTTTTATGATTTTAGGCTTTTTCCGAATAAATTTGTAAAAAAAAACTTTGTTTTGTAACTCGAGCACCAGCAATTGTTTTCCATGATCGCTTCCTCTATTATCTTAGTCAGTTAATAATGTTTGGTTTGTTAGAGCTAAATTGCCGTCCCACTTGCTTTGGGATGTGTCACTCATCTTTGTCTCATTTGGTGGGAATGTTTACAATTTTTAAACCATAGGCATCCCGAGCGTTATTATTACGGTTTCACAGGCAACCCCTGCTCACTACATTTATATAAGAGAATGTATTAGGATTTAGAATATGCCTTTTTTTATGTATTTTAACCAGCTCCAATTGAATCACACATAATTATTAGTAAACTATTCCTTCGTGATCATGTGAATTTGTCGTTTTTTTTAATTTTGAGAATCGATATGTTGAAAATGCCAGGCAAGACTTAACGTGTCAGCAAACTTTATACGACTACTCAGCGGCTGACTTCATTAATTTACGACGTGCGCAGGAAAATTGTACACATGCTTCCAGAGGGATGATATGGTAGCGGTAAAACGTCGCTCTGGAAATAGAGAATACAAAATTAATCATTTTCAAATAAACGGTCTGTTTGAAAAGGATGATACTACTGAATAACAAGACACCCTTTTTTTCCTAAGACCAATAAATGCGATATTGAAAAAAAGTTTGTTATCATATTAACATGTGTCTAGTCACACAAATCTTAGTTGTATTGATGCGGCAGCATATTCTTCATTTTTGAAGTTCTGTTTCATGTTTTATCATTCACGTATCACGTCTCAGCACCGTCTGAAGATATTTTATTTTATGATTAGGCATTTGGATGGAAACAAAATCAAGATATTGAAAAAAGGGGCATTTGAGGGACTTCGATCGGTGAAAGAATTGTAAGTTAACTCAGTTAGTTAGTATCGGTAATATATATATTTAGGCACTGCCTAAAAGCGGAGCTCCCAATACGGAAGTCACAGGGAGAACAATTTGAATGAAACTGAAAGGTAAAAATAAGATCGCGGAAAAAATCTTCAAATACTTTTTATTCGAGATGAAGATAATTTCTCCCATAATAAAAACCATGCAGTGAAATCGAATCAAAATGCACTACATTGTTGTTGTTGTTGTTGTGTTTTTTTTTTATTTTTTTCCTTTTTTGCGCAAGTATACTCTCCCACTTAGGAGTTTTGTACAAAACTCACCACCACAATCAGTGGCTAGTTTTGTTATTCTCTTCTACAAAATTTTCCAGGGCCGACAGTTTTAGGCTTTGATTCTCTTTTACTTTAAGAAAAACGAAAGATAACTAGAGATAGTCCAATTAAATATCAAGTTTAGTGAAATTTACCTCGGATGTCTTTCATTGAAATCGAAAATCTGGATATTTAGGACAAATCAAGACTAAAAAACAGACTTGAAAACTGGTTAAGGCGAGCAGAAAAAATTAGGCTTACTTATGTCTTTTACAGAACAAGACGAAGTTTACATTCAGTTAAACTTGACAAGAACAACTGAGACAAAATAGAAAATAATGCAAAAGGCAATGCAAAATACAACATGACGAATTTGTTGTCAGTAAATTGGCGTTTGTAAATGTTTTTGAATATTCTTTAGCTTTTTAAAGTTAAAGACAAGGTCTTTATACAATAACATCTCTCAACAACACAAATTTAA